CAACGTGGGAAAAGCCTTTAGGTATTTGGGAAGGGCTGGGAAAGAAGCCTGAGAGCAAAGGCAAAATGAATGTAGATTTGGGAAGGACTTTTTTTTCCTGCCTGCACTGCTGGTGCCTGGCCAGCCTGGGCTGGGGGAGAAGAAAAGGTGAAGAGCAGCTTGGAGGAAAGGCCTGTGCAGGATGCACCTCTGTGTTTTCCAAGCACCGTGGAGCTCAGGACTCAGAGCACAAGAAGGACTGAAAAATGTTCAGAGGGCTGAAGAAAGTGGGATTCTCTTTATGCTGAAATCTGACATTTTTAGAAAGAGGCTGGCAATATATTCCAATCTTTTTAGAGTCTGTAATACACACAGGCTTTGCCATGCTGTAACATGTGGGGACTGGAGAGGGAGAATGTCAAACATAGATAGGAGATCAGGAGTCCCAGTAAGTGCTTTAAAATTAGACTCAACATGATTGACCTGCTTGGGATGTCCATCAATGACTCCAAGGGACAGGAAGAACCACAGGTTCTGGTATTGTACGCTAAATACAGAGTGTCCTATGTAGTCCAAGCCAACAATCCATTTCAGGTACCATTGATTGGTCTCTGACATGGCAAGTGAAGTTTAGAGGGTTTTCAGCTTTCCAAATTCTCACCGTGAACAACACTTGTTTGTCTTCTTCTGTCTCTGGGGGAACCAGGAGTGCAGAAATGATGCCCCTCTTGATGTTCAGGATGTGTTTGGGTTCACCCTTCTCTGGGTAAAGGAAGACTTTCTTCCCTTCAGGAACACCCAGCCTGAGCTCATACCTGTCCCAGAGAGAGCATGTGGTCACAGAAATGTCCCCTCTCCACTTTGAGCCTGTTGGAAGGAAGTTTCTGCTTGGCAGGCTCCTTTTCAGTTGTTAACATCAGTTCTTTACAAATATATGCACACACATGTACATATTTTCAAAAAAGTACATAAACAGGTAAAGTTTTGCCATTATTGCTCTTAATTTTTTTTTTCCCCTGGGCTCATCTCTTCCCTGTCTGTTCTCCACCCACCAGTATGGACACCCGAGTGGGTATTTCATTCATATCTCCCTGTTCATAAGATTCTACATAGATTGTGAGTACAAACACAGATACATAAAGATGTTGTAATTATTTGTTTTATGCAAATGGAATCGTATTATGCATACTTCCCTTCATGTTGTTTTTCTCATTTAATTATATTCTAGGAAAACCCTGAGTCGCTTGGTAAGCTCTAAGAGATTCTTTTTTCAAAAGCTGTATAAACATTCCATTCTGTTGTTATATATAGTTTATTCAACACATTGCCCCATTTGGTGGCATTTACTGGACTTTTTTTCCCTTTTTTTTTGCCACACAAACAATACTGAAATACATATCCTTATGTGTTTATCTTCATCTTCATGCATTACTGCTTTTATTTTCATGGGCTTGAGTCCCAGAGATTGGAATTGCTGTGTCAAAGGGTATAAGTATTTTCAACTGGAATAGCTATCACCCTGTGGCTCTCATTCCCACAAGCCATGTGTGGGAATAACTTTTCCTCCCTGGCTCACCAGCAACAGGTGCCATTGCTGTTTTAAAGTTGTCCAGTCTGATGGGCGTGAGGTAATCCCTATCTTATTGTAACAGTAATTTGCATTTCCTGACTACTAATGAATTTGAGCATCTTTTCATAATCTGTTTTTTATATGTTCTCAGGTCATGTCTGGAATTCATGTTGACTTTGGTTTTAGAACCTTCTCATTGAGGATGATTTGGGTGCCCGAGGGCCTGGCTGAACCTGTTCTAGTTAAGTTAAAAGGACAAGGAGACCAGGATTTTCTCCCGTATTTCTGCACCTTTCAGAAAATTCCAGATATGGTGATGCAGGCCTGGAAAGCCCTCATGATCGAGAGTTAAGAGTCCCTTGTGTTTAGAGAAGAGTAAGGACTAAAAAATAACTGCTATTCCTTCCTGCCACCAAACCCCTTCCCATCATGCACGTCGGAATCTCAGGTAAAGTGAGGTGTTTGGGTGGAAGAAAGAAGAGTCCACGCAAGCCTCTTTCACAGAGAAAGGACTGGTTTCTGATGTTAGCAAATTGAAAGATGGGCAGGGATAGAATTTTTTATGCTACAAACTGACTGCTTATATTGTAATTAGGGACAAAGCAGAGATAATGTTAAAATATTTAATGGCTGATACAACACAGGTGCTGGAGTGTCAGAAGAGATGCCAGTTGTAAACAAAGTCCTGGCCTTCTGGTATGCAGTGGCTGCATGCCACCCTGGGTAGAGGACCACTGAAGCCTTGTGCCCCTTTGCCTGCCATTGAATAGACCCTGTGCCACTGTATGTTGGCACTAAAGACCCTTTGCTACCATCTTGTTTAAATAAATTGCCTCAAAGAGTTTAAAAGCATGAGATCTTTTAGAAACACATTTAAATGATAATTAAGGCAACCTGACTAAGGGAGGGTAAGTAATGCTTTTTCCTCTTTTAGATAGTTCTGAAAATTCTGCAGTTTCCTGATCCATGGTGAACACTGATTATAATATACTTATACTCACAGGCACCTAACATGAACACACATGATCATGCCTCACAGGACACACATATGATTAAGCAGGCATTCACGCAACATAGCCAGGGATGCAAAGAGCTCAGAAATATAAATGCATGAGTCCACCCTTACTTGGACATGGCGGCTGCAAACTCCTCAGAGTTCTTGGTCTTCTTCAGCAAAGGCTTGCCCTCAGCGTTGAAGCCATATACCTCTTTCAAGGTACATTGGCTGGTCTTCAGGATGAAGTTGCAGAGTTGGGGAACCTCTAGCTCGACCTGAGGATGGAGGGTAGCAGCATACTGAGTTTCTCTATCAAGCACGGAGAGATTTCCCACAACCCAGGGCTTCATGTCTAACTAGGGCACCGGGGTAATGGTTCTCTCATGGGTCTCCATGCATCAACCTAGGCTCTGTCCTATTTTTGGTCTTTTCCTCTTTCAGGGTAACAAGTTTCTTAAGTCTGCACCTATGCATGGGAAGGAGGATGTCTTTTTATTGGCTTTAAATTATTCACTTCAGTTACAAAGAACTTGGTGCACTTAGTTACAAGACAGAAGACTAAAAGTAAGAATTTAGTAAGAAAAATAGGAAGTAGGAAGTGGCTATCATTGGTTTTCACAGCTAATATTTCCTTCATGTCACTTGAAAACTGTTTCCTCTAGGGCCTATTGAGGGTCTCACATACAGCTGCGGTTGAAAGAGCATTACCCAGCATTATTCAAAGAACTTTTTGTCATGACAGGTAGCTTTATATTTGCACTGTGTGATATGGTAGTATGAGCCACAATGGCTATTGGGCATTTGAAATGTGGCTGGTAAGACTAAGAAGTGAATTTTTAATTTTATTTAATTTACATAGCCATGTGTGGCTAATGCTTGCCTCATCTGACAGCACAGACAAGGACCACGGAATCCTATGGAGAGCCAGGAAGCTTCTCAACCTGCCTCCTCCTCCCCATATGAACCTTGACAGTAGCCCTCTGATCTGTTCCATATGGACAGTCTCAAGAATAAGCAAAGTTTCATTTTAGAATGAACTACATGTTTATATGCTAAATTTGTTTTTCCATTTCTTTCTAGCAACAGTTTGACTTTGACTGTAAATACCACCTTTTCCACTTTCCTGAGATGCCCACCTCTCTTAGCTTACTCACCGGGTCTCCCTTGTGTTGAAACCTATAGTCCTACATTTCTGATAATCTAGACCCTGTGTTCAAATTGTAGCATGGAAATTAATGGAAGAATGTTTTTTTTTTTTCCCCCGGGCAAAATTTTCTGTGGTGGACAGCTTCTCAGCAATGTGGCTGACTTACAAGCTGAGGGCCAGTTCTAGCACTTTGAGGTCACAACAGTTCTGGCATGTGCTGGGACCTCCTGGAAGGTCCAGTTCTGGGCACCTGTGGAGCAAGCCCGGGCTCCAGGTTCCTCCAGCGCCCATCCTCCATACCTTGCAGTTGATCTTTGTGATGCTTCTTGAGTCAGCAGTCCCAGGGACACCACTGGAGCTCTCTGCCTCATAGTTATACATGTACTTCCGGAGGTGCTTGAATCGAGTTGCCTCTTCTAAAATGAGAAATAAGTTTGCATATCAGAAATAGCTCTCCCCAGGCAGTCAGTTCTGGGCAGAGAGGGGTGGTGGTATAGATAATTAAAAAAATGTAATTGAGCTCAAATTATTTTTAATTTTCTTTACATTATGTTAATTAAGCATTGCTGAACCCGATATTTAAATTAGATGGGTTTCCTTGAACATATCATCTGAGATACAGGGAAGAGAGTGCCAAGCATTAAATAACGGGGCTCCAAAATGTATAGAAGAGAACTTTTTCAAAGTTAAGATTTGACAGCACTAAGCAAAGGGATAGTACTTTTCTCAGCTTGAAAATACCAAAATTATGTGACTGTGTTTTTAATTATTTCAAATACCTTAGGCAAATTTCTTTAGACATTAGGGATATCTGGTTAACTTTAAGAAGAAGAAATTTCTGGAGGATTCCACTATGAGGAAATTTTATAAACTTGAGACAGAACAGCATGAACCCAATGTAGTGATTTCATATGTCCACCAGATGGCGGTGTGGCACCATCAGAGGTCAGCTCAGGCATTCTCTAGAGAACATAGAGTACTGCCCAAGGCCAGCTCCTCTGACCTCCAGGGGTCAGGTAAACACCAAGGGGTGGGGGGCTGGATTTTTGCACAAAGGTTAAAGTCAGTATTTCTTCATCCCCACACACTCTGAATCAATGATTAATAACTGATAAACAGGACAGTGATGTCTCTTTAAAGTGTTCATAAGGCTGTCAGAGTGGCCGTTCCTTCCCTTCCCCATCCCCATCCCCAGGCCAAATTTTTGGGACAAAAGGACTGGTAGATGAGGGTGTAGACCCTTGGGGGTGGGCAGAGGCTCAAAGCACTTGTTTCCTAGGGTCTGAGCAGCATACACCAATCTGAGCATACAACACTATGTAGAGCCTTGGTGACCAGAGGTCTAAAAGGGCAGTTGGCCTGGTGTGGGGGGTGCCCGTCCATGCCCAGTGAAGAAATGCCTTACTTGGACAGCTTGGGCTGACATTTTCCAACACCTCGTCTTCTGTAAGAAAAGAAAAAAAGAGACTGGGTTTTTCCATGTCCTACTGAGGTCCTGGGGTCTGACAGGGAGGACCACTGGTAGGTCTTGTTTTCCGGCAGGAAGCAGGTCTGGAGAGCTCAGGCCCCAGGCCCTCCATCTGCCCATCCTATCTGGAGTCTGGAGGAGCTGTCAATTCGTCCTGGCCCCCGTCTTAGTCTTAGTGAGCCTGTGAGCTCTGTGTCTGCCCTCCCTCTGACCCAAGCCCAAGCTGCCCCAGCCACGGCCCCACCACGGGCTTCCACCTGCTCTGGTTTAGGTCATGGTCAGATGTTGCAGCCCCGCACCCGGGGCTCCACCTGCGCCCCGTCCTACTCACGGGCCCAGGCGCCAGTGTCCAGGAGCAGCAGCAGCAGCAGCAGCAGCAGCAGCAGCGCGGGCCTCGCGGGGCCCATGGCGGATGAGTGGGTGAGAAGGCTCCTTGGCTTCCTGGCTGTGGCCTGGCCACGGCCTGGCGCCGCTGCTGGCTCCAGGGGCTCTTCAGAGGCTGCACTGAGACCCACACTGGCTCCGCGGGCAGTAGGGGAGGGTGGGACTGCACGCCCGCGCGCAAGCACCCTATTTATAGGAGGCCCTGGATTAAGAATTGCAAAAGGTCCAAAGGGCGCATCCCTGGCCTGTTTGCTTTTCCACACGGGCTTGTCTCTGAGCCTTGAGGAGGGGCCTGGGAGGGGGCTCCCCTCAGACCCAGCGACAGCCGCCCTGGAGCTTTCCTCCTGCCTGGCCTGGCCTGCTGGGGCTTGGTGGTGGGCGGTGGGGGCAGTGGGCTTATTGCCTGAGGAGCCAGCCTGCGCTGGCTGCCTTGGGGAGCCGGCTGATCACAAGGACAAAATCCACTCTCCTCCCGCTGACTCTGGGGCCCTTTAGCAAACCAGTTCTTAACTCCTGATTGAGATGTTTTCCTAGTCCTTTTCCATTTGGGTGGACTTTGTGTGGGCATGGAAGGCCCACTCCAGATCAGTACTTGTGGCTGAGGGGAGGAAACTGGGAAGGTCTGATGAGTGATGGGCACTGGCCCTGAGGGGTGGATACCTTCTCAGGCCCAGCTGGAGTCCAGGTGCCCTAGTCTTTCAGAAACCCAGTGAGGATGGTTCCAGGGGACATAGCTCCCAAGTGACCCCTGGGCAGGGTCTTCTTGGGAAATTGAGGAGTGGAGGCCGCTCCCCATCTCCCCACTTTCCTCCTATAGTGAGAGGCCAATGAAGAGCCCCAGAGGGAAGGTGTGAACAGAGCACATTCCCTACCAATAGCCCAGAACCTTCTCAGGAATCCTTTCTTTCTCTTCTAAGTGCTGGGTCATGGGACCCAGAGAAAACTTGCCCTCTCTTCCTCTTCCTGGCTACAGGAACTTGTGTTTGTATGGACATTTCAGCAGTCTTGATTTCACCAACCCAAGATCAATCATTAAGGTTTATTGACAGGATGGATGAATGTCTGAGCCTGGTTATGTCTTAATTCAAGGTATTCTTATCTGGTTGTGAAGCGAAGATGCATTGACAGGAAACTGTGGGTACTCCATCAAGGTAGGATGGAAAGAACACTTAACTGTGGGGGTTAAAATTGCTGGAGGGGCACTAACTAAGCAGTGAGATTAGGTGGTAACCCAGGGGGAAAGGAGTGGGAGTAATAGGGACTGTATCTTGGAAGCATTAGGGAAGTTAGTATTTATTACTTCAACGTGTCAGCTTTGTTTGACTTGTAAGCTATATCCAGATGTGTGCAACAAACTACTTGTAAAATTGTCTAAATGTTCTGATGCCATGTCTAAATGTTCTGATGGCATGCAGATGGTTCCAGAAAGGTCAATTCATGTATAAAAGCACCTGTTTCCTCAGAAGAGACATACCATGATGTTTGTCTTGTTTGCAACACCTGGGCCTCCACATCTCTTATAGCAATGAACTCTCTAGTGATCAATTGCTTTGCATCATTGTTAAAGGTGGATATTACAGTAGTCTCAATTGCTTTGCATCATTGTTAAAGGTGGATATTACAGTGGTCTCAACCGGAGGTTGGCCAAATGTGTACTGCTGGTTTCATGCAATATGAAAGGCCTGGAAAAGTAATTGCCTAGAAATACCATTTCTCAGCATTTTATGTGCCTTATTTTATGTGGGTTGACTTGAGAAAATGGTCCTGTTCCAATGCATATCCACTTCAAGGAGAATGGATAAGAATATTTAGAAGTACAGAAACTAATAAGAGATGGTTAACATTAATTTATAAGCACAAGTTTGGGATTTCTCTGTTGGATGATAGATGCTAAGGTCAGCATTAATAGAAAACATAATTTTTACAATTTGGTATTTCAAATGAATCTGATAACTTTAATGCAGGGAAACACTGTGAGATGTTTGAAGACCCCAGCAAGAACAGTCACCATCTCTGAAAGAGAAAACGTGATGGGCTGGGGATATGGCTCAAGCAGTAGCGCGCTTGCCTGGCATGCGTGCGGCCCGGGTTCGATCCTCAGCACCACATACCAACAAAGATGTTGTGTCCGCCGAGAACTAAAAAATAAATATTAAAAAAATTTTCTCTCACTCTCTCTTTAAAAAAAAAAAAACCTAACTTCTCTGTTCCTTAGTTTCTAAAAAAAAAAAAAAAGAGAGAAAACGTGAGATTCCAAAGTGCTTCGTTCAGCTTCCCTTTTCTTTCCCTGATGGCCTTTGGAAAATGTCCCCTGGATTGGGTACTCATCCTTCAACAGGATCCAGCATGCA